TGTGTGTGTGTGTGTGTTCCCGCTCTGTGTCCTGCAGCTCTGCAGAAGTCCGACAGTGACGTTCGTGCGATGAAGAAACAGGCAGAGAATCTGACGGTGGAGTACGACAGACTGCTGGAGGAGCACAGCAAACTGCTGGTAACAGACACACACACACACACACACACAGATACAGATACAGACGGACAGACAGACAGACCCTCTGTAATACCTGTAATAAAGCAGCTCTACATGAACTGAAGCAGCCTTATAGAATAATGTCTCTGCATTTATCTGAGATCTACTCTCCAAACTGCTGAGTGTTAATAACACACTGGGTCCCAACATGAGGGTCAGCACCCACACGAGGGGTCGCCAAAGCTTAACGAGGCCTTCTTGACTTTGAGGGGTGAAAGAAAACGTCGCCCATCAGACGGGGGGCTCTGTGAGCTGGTTCTGTGATGGATCGGGTTCCATGTTGACAGAATAAACACGTTCTTTAGACCGACTGATGCTGAGCTTTCCTCTGATCCTCTCTCACCTTGTTTACGTCCTTTATTTGTCAGTCGAGATGCTCAGTGATTATCAGCTGATAAATGAATGCTTGATGATGATAATTAATAATTAATGTTCTAATAAAAGAAAAAGTAGTTTGTGAAGTTTTTGGATGAAAATGAACATTTGAAGAGTCGGATCTGTTGATGTGTGCTGATGGATATTAAACCATCCTTCGTTGCCTTGCTCACCCTCTAGTGTGGATAAACTGCAGGTTACATTAATGTTAAATTATCGTTACTCGTACAACCATGAGAAGCAGGTAATTGTCATATCGTGCGTCCCTAAAACTCGAGATGTCCTCCGCTGTGACTGACCACACAGAACGTGGTTCCCGCCGCTGCCCGTCTGTCGGGTCGAGCTGTTGTCGTGTAGTCTGAAATGTGATCAGCAGATTAGCGACTGTCCGCTGGTTAGCCGCCGTAACAACTGCTGTTAGAAGTCCCAGACGATCGGTAGGAGAGCAAAGTTTATTGTAGTGAACTAAAAGTAAACGAGGTGTGAAATGGAAAGAAAATGAGACTTAAACACTAAGTGAAATGATAATGAGTACTTATACAGGAAATGTCTTTAGTTTTTGTCCGTGAGGTCAAATTTGTCAACAAGAGGAGGTGATGGTTGATCTGTTCATTGAGACTGAGTCAATATGTTTGTACTGTAACATCTGCTCTGACAAATAACTGAACTAACTGAATATCTCCAAACAAAAACTGAATTCACTTTATCAGCTCCCGGCTAAACCACAAATGAGTAAAGAGGTGGAGCTGAATGAAGCCTGGTTACTGAAACCACCTGTCACTCAAAGCGGCCACGCCCCTAATTATTCATAACTTTAATCCTTAATATAATTTGAGTTATCTCTAGAGACCAAAAGGCTGTACACGTGTTTATTTCTGCTGTAAAGAGATTTAAATATGAGGCCTTATGGAGACTGACTGCTGGAGCCTCTAGTGGCCGTTAGAGGTTATCAATAATATATATGTGTTAATAATATATGTGTGTGTTTCCCGCCCTGTTCTCTGTCTGCAGGCCACCAGCGACAAGAAATCCGACTAAGAATGACGAAGACTGTTTCCAGCTCATCCCCATCTTCTTCATCTTTTTCATCTTCCCCGTCCCGCTTGGCGACGGCGATGTCACTTCCTTTCTTTCAGATAAGCCGACCTCACCGGGCTGCGATTGGTTCGTTTCATGTGGTTTAAAAATGTCCGACCGTCGGAGCTTCATCGGGATGAAACTGTCAACTGAGGAGGTTTCTGTTCTCTGATCTGATCATTCTCCGTTTACTGAACCCGGACCTCCGTCCTGGTTCCTGCAGCAACAGATTCATTCCAGAATCAGAGGTCCAATGTCCTTTAAGACTCCCGCACATTATTGCACATTGTGGATTCTGATCGGTTTAAAACGTCTCGGCTTTGTTTGAAGAATCATCTTGTTAAATTTGAGGTTATAAATGTGTCTAAAACTGACTGTGTTGTATTTTGAAATAAAACCAATGATGGATGAATGTGAACCGATCGGTTCCGTTGAGAACCTGCAGTGCGATTGATTGGCACTGCACAGGTCACTCTGTACGAGCAAAACAAAAGCTGTTCATGTTGTTTACACTCAAATATTCGCACACATACAGGAAAATAAAGACCTTTGTGTCTTTAATAAACTGAAGCATGTCCACGTTTGTGTCAAATATCTTCTTTTCTCCTTGTTTTGGTGGCGATTTCTGCTCCGGTTCTTCAGTTAAAAGCTTTCTTTAAAGGGTTAATGTGTCTCATTGTTTTGTGACTTGGAGACTGAGATTCCCTCTCTGGTGAAAACTTCTGCTGTGTCCAACCTGCTTCAAACCATCGCAAACTGTCGTCATATTAAGTTGTTTTAGATCAGTTGCAGAACGAGGAGGGGTCGCACCAGCTGGTCTTTACTAATCCTGGTCCTAACGGAGTCAGTCTTTCTTAAGATCAGTCTGTAGTGCAACCGACCCTGGATGTTTTTTCGAGGTTTGAGCATCTGTTGTTTCCTAGAGAGTAAAAATCTCCGTCTGAAAGCGTCTCAGTTCACTGTTGTTGTCGGGTGGAAGCCATGAGTGTGAACCTGCAGCTGTGGATTAAAATGTGATTGAATGCGTTTATCTGTTGTTGTTTTTCTTGAAGTGGAGATTCTGAGTCATTTGTACCAAACTCAAGTCAGATTTTGGTATAAATTAGATTGAATTAATGTAAACATGTTTTAAAAAAGGCACAGATGAAATAGTTTGTGAGGCAAACAGTAATAAAACATTAACGTTCACATGATGACTTCTTATTTACTCATCATGCTGTTGTCTCTGAGGCCTTCCAGAGGCACTGAAACTTCACTCTGGGAAATTTGATCGCCTAACTTTTGGATTTCGTCCTGATTAAAGTCGACACCAGCCCCTACGGCTCCAGCTCTGTGATCACCTTGTAGTTCTTTGATTAATTAAATTCAATGTTTTCTTTGGAAGCTGCAGCACTAAAACACTCAAACTGTCCTTCAGGCCGATCAGTTGCCACAGGTCCAGAAAGGAGTGGAAAGTTCCTTGGATAAAAACGTTCTTCCTTTACGTCACTCTCTGCTTAGGTGTCTGGAGTATTTCTGAGTGATGTAGAAGTTACACAATATTTGGTATAATGAAGTAATAATTCTGGTCGGAAAGCTCAAATGAAAAAAAAGTTCTCACTTTAAATAACAAGGTTTTCTTTTAATTAAGGAAAACCCTTAAAGTCTGTGTGTGCTACTGTACTGGTTAGACTGGTATATGTGAATTATTGGAATTGAAATAATTTGTCCATTTAAAGGGCTTAAATTGTATTATTACAAAAGAGAGGCTGACAGTCAGTATTCCTAACTGACTACTGTTTAGTTTTATTATCCATGAATCTGTCAGTTTGTTGGTCCATTAGATGGTGAAAAATGATCACGGAAACATCCTTTAAAGAAGACGCTAAATCAGAATTTGGACATTTCTTAAACTCATTGGAGAAAAGCATCCACACACTAAAATCTGTGCAAAAATTCTAAGCTTTTCCTTTTTTGCCTTGATGAATGTATTTGACTGAAAGCTTTCTATGTGTGTTATTCCACAGCCATTTTTACCCTTTGTAGCACCCCCTAGTGGTCGAATTGAATGAAACTGTATATCCTGTGAGCTTTGTGATGATCGGCCCAATGGTTGCTAACTTATGTCTGTTTATGTGCTGAGCCAAGCCCCCTCTGAGGCTCATTGGTCAATATCTTTAATACTGAATCAGATATTGATAAGCCGTATGCAACTATTGATCAGTTCCGTTCAAGCAGGCAGACCGACTGTTAAGGAGGAGATGGCAAAAATGTCTAAAAAATTATTCTTTAAAAATAGAAAAATGTACATATAAATGTTTACATCCAACAACAACCAACTGGACCTGATATAAGATTGTTTAGGCAGTGACGAAAGTTCAATCAAATATTTAATTGGTTTTAAATGTATCAGAAGTTCTGTGTGTATTTCTCAAACTGCTGAACTTAACTTTTCTACACTACATTTATCTGACAACTTCAGTTACTTTTAAGCATTAAACCACAGCTGAAACAATATGGCAAAGATTAAATATCAGCTCATGTATCAGTAGTTTTACTGCAGTAAAGGATCTCAATACTTCCTCCAGACTGCACATTACACACATCCGTCCGTCCATCTGCCTGTCTTGTGTCTAAACATAGCGTCCCACCTTCGCCTCCTCTCGGTCTTAATAAGGCAGCTGTCGGTCTAAACGGCCGTTTGGCATTAGAAACCGGTTTGAGCCGCACTGCCGAGCCTCTAGATCAGCTTTCACAGCCGACCCAAGCGCCTTGTGTCTAAAACTGCTGACAGGAGAACATCTCGGGCCAGGAACTTTTTTTAAGCCTCTAGTATTTCTGTCTTCTGCTTCCTGGAAGTTCAGACCGGTTGCAGAAAGCTGCCAGACTAGCTGGAGTAGAAAAAAGACTAAGAAAATCAGCAGTTTGGGTCCAAAGTTCCCCAACCGTAACTCTAGAACCAGGGAACATCAGATCCTGGGAACATATGAGTGAGTTTTTTGAGGCGTCCTGGTATCGACATACTCACATTAAGGCAAAAATACAATTTAAAATCTTCTAAAAAGTTTCATCACATTTGCCCCCTGGATCTTCCAGTTACTGCCCCCTCGGTGCAACCGCTGTTTGCTGTAGATGTTTTAAGACAGGAGCCTCAAACTGCCAGCCATCCAGCCCCCTCCCTCCGTCCCACGACATAATGTCAAAAATATAATATAATTTGGCCTACAAGATGATTCTTCTTTTTTTTATGTATTTTTTTTTTATAGTAGTTTTATTTAAATGTTTGCACAAAATAGGTCAAACAAGTTCCAAGGTGCCTGCAGGTGTTTGAAAATGATTAATATGAAGAGAGCAAGTTTCATTCGTTGTGTCTTTGAGATCAACAAATATATAAAATTATGATATAAAAATGTATAGAAACTGCTGCTGTATGATCTTAGTAAGCACTTTCTTCTTGTACTTGCAGTGGCCCTCAAGCCAATTTGAGTTTGAGACTCCTGTTTTAAGAGATTTAGCTTTGAACATTCACACTGTATGTGAGGCCGGATCCTGTCTGAGCTCCCGTTCAGTCTTTCAGCTCATAATGCAAACTGACTCTTTCGCTTTCAGTTACCTGAAATGTTCCTTTGTTTAGCTGAGCTCCAGTTAAGTTTACTCAAAATAAAGTTAAAGTGAGCTCACTTTATCTTTGTTGGACCCAATGAAACCAGGCTTTTCATTTTCTACAGGACCTTAAGTTTTCTCCTCAAGCTTAATTTCATTTTAGCTGAGGTTTTTGCATTCACTGCACTGAAATAAATTTTACAGCCATAAACCTGCAGTTTCCATGGAGACTGTGTGTTTGCTTATGATACCTGGTGTGAAGACAACTTGTCTGATTCACAAGATGTAGAACAAATAACTTACTTATAACTCAATAAATAACTTTTATCTTATCTGGGTTTTTTTTATTTCTTTTATTTATTATATTTATTTGTGAGTCCTGATTTTTGTCCTTTATCGTTAATATTTATTATGTTTGAGTTGTTTGTTGTTTTTATGTCTTTTACTGCAAACCAAATCTACCAACAGTACAAACCGAGTAACCTAACCTAATGGCTCTAAAAGTTATAATTTATTGCTTTAACAGGAATTATTCCAGACTAAATGTACTCTTTATTTAATTAAATAGATTAAGATGGAGTCCGAGGTAGCTTTAGTTTTTGTTCTTACTTTGGTGGCTGAGGTCTTTTGTGCAACGCTTTAACTAACCAAATAAGTAGAAAACCTTTAATACTTAAGTGAACATCTTTGGGAAACTTTAAGGAAATGACTTTTACTTTTACTAGAACTTTTACTTAAACGTACTACAGAGTTTAAACATCAAGGAAAAGATTGGATATTTCTATATAGTTGTTATTAATGTCAGCCACCAGGTCCAATTTCCATTGAAATCAATGAAACGAGGAGGTAGAAACAGCTTTTGTCCACAGGAGCCGCCAAAATGCGCACAAAATCAAAGCTCCTTGTAGGAACTTTAAATACTAAAACCATACCATTACTATCCAAGTAAATAAATCCCCTCCCTTCAGACTTCCCCCAAAAACACATTTTAATGGATGTAGATTTTTTTCTTCTTATTCTTTTTTTTTGTGAATTATCGATTGCTGTTGGGAATTTCAAGAAATATAACAAAAAATGTTTTTGAAATTCACAACCTATCCAAACTTTAAGAGGAGGAGGAAAAGCAGTTGATTGAAATGTTTTTTTTTAGGCTACATACAGACTGCATGCACTCTGCAGTGTTAAAAATCTTAACTAGTTTTAGTAAAGATACAAATACAACTTTGCCTAAAACTCCTAAAAACTTTAATTTAATTTGCATGATTGATGGAAAATTCAGAAAACAACCCATTAACCACAGAGACAGATCAGCTGTTTGTCATGACGTTAGTTTTATTGCCGTTGGTTTAGTTGGTGGTGGATGAGCACAGTGATCACAGTGACTTACAGCATGGAGAACCTGGCAGTCAATGAAACACAGGTGACATCATCAGGACACAAAGTTAACTCTTTCATCATCGAGTTTTTGGCTGGTGAATCGTTAACATCGAGCCCCGAGTGTCGTTACTACCGTTAAAACAGCTATTAAGCTACTTATCACCTAATCGATTGTCTAATCTACAGTTATGGATGGAAGACTGTGGTTTACAGGAAGTCACACAGAGACACATAGTTACAATAAAATGGCCGACGCTGGGATGAATGAGGTCGCCATGTATCTCAGTTTGGGCTGGAAACAGACGGGACTGAACTTTAAAACCGACTCGAAAAAATCTTTTTTTCAGCACCAAAGTCAGAGAAGATATGAAGTCAATTATTTGTGTTTCTGGAAACTCATACAGCCTGGACAGGAAATAGATGAAATGATAAAAATAAAAACTCTCTACAGAATCTCTTTATGAGATATTAGTTGTTGAAAATTTGGAATAGATTCATCTAGTTTTATATTTTCAGTTATGTGAAATGGTTTTTACTTCCAGACTTAAGCGTCTTTTTTCTAATTTTTAAGTTTTAACTCAGAGAAGAAATGCCATTTCTGACTGTGGACTACACATGTTTGCAGATGATACTGTACTTTATATTAGATATTATATTGTACTGAAAACATTTTCTACGTACATTTGCAAAAAAATGTTTCAGCTGTTTATCTTGTTGCTGTTTTTTGGGCTCTCTAATAGAAGGATGACTCTGATTGGACGATTGTTTTTCCAACTGAGTAACCACCCGTCAATGAGCACAACATCAGACGATTCACTCTATGAATCACTGAAAAAATAGAGGTCAACTAAAAAAAAAGTTTATGAGATGCTTGTGAGAGTTTTTGTTTTATCATCACCTAATTTTTCATCCACTTATTTCAACACAAACCTCGGCTCTGTATGTTTTAGCGTGCATGGTTTCCAGCCCAAACATGATGGGGTTTCCCACTGGAGGAGAGCGCCCCCTGCTGGTTCCACTGCTGCCACACCTGACCTCTCTTCAGCTTCCCAAAAAATCTGAAGGTAAGAAAGTTTTTTTTTATATGATGAAAGACTTTGATTCTTTTTCAGGAGCACCAGTGACCAATAAAACCAACCTATTGTGTCAAGAAAAGGAAATAATTTTTCTCATGATCACAAGAAACCAAAAAAAACAAACGATCCCTTTAAGCTTCTGTACTTTTTGGAGGTTAAAAAATACTTTGGCAATGGTTTTGGCTATAAAAATCATTGACATTATATTTAAAAAAATAATAATCTACAGTAAAATAAAATAAACTTCAAAACGGCCAAACTTAAAAAAAGCAGTTGTGAGTGAAAACCACTCTGTGCTGGTCTGAGAACAGCAGGAGGTTTTGGAGAATCAGACTTCAGATGGTTTTTGGGAAAGAGGCGCTCTCTGCTGAAGGAAACCGTCCGACGGTGAAGTTTGTTGGACAGAATTGAGATCAGATTCTTACAGTTTTACCTGCAGACTGAACAATGTGAATTGTTCATTAAATGTAATTTCCAGTTTACAGTTCTGAATCAAAGATTCTGTCACAACAAGAGGTTTTTGTTTTTTTTTTGGCCGAAGAGCACAAAGACAGAATGACATGAAACAACATCAGATTTTGGTAATGTACATTTTCATTTTTTCAAGTTGTTTTTTCATATTTTCTTTTGCCTTCAATGGCTGTAGATTTGTACTTTTTTCACCCTCTGACCCTCCCAGGCTCCCGTCCACAGATGAGACGTTTAAAAAAACAATGATACGACTTTGCTTTAAAAAATAAACAATTCTACGTTTCTAATGTCCGTTTGTTTGTTATAAAATACTGCCTCAGGTTAGTTTTATTAGTGAAATAAGAGTTATTAGTGGCACTTGAGTCACATGTGACCTCTACAACAACATTCTATCTCTAATCTCACTAGTTTTGATAAACAGTAGTAATAATCTCTGCATGCCAACACTTTAAATCTGCTCGTTTGAGAGTCTCCAGACCAGCCAATCAGCATCAGCTCCACTGCAGAGCTGCAACTAATCAATGTGGGGGGGGTCCTTGACATGGGGGAACCAATTAACTATCTTTAGGTTAATTTTCAAAATTTCAAAGACAGAAAAGAGTTACATTTTTATAATAAAGGACGTTAGGTGCAATCGATCATATAGTACTGTAAAAGTGTAACTTTACTCATTCAGTTTGGGTTTAATTACGTTTAACAACTGCGGCTGACGTGAGGCGTCAGATTTATCTGATTTTTTAGAAAGGTTTTCAGGATCACAACTTGTATGTCGACAACGTCAGAAACCGTCCTGTGATGTTGAAATATTTTGGAGCTTTTGGCTGGTCTGGTGCTTCTTGGTGAGCGCTGATGGTTTTGGCTGGAAACCTGGATTCATGTTGAAACCAGAGAGTTTGGTTTTTTGGTCGGTTTTCATCCTCACATTTTTTTCTTTAATTACTCGAATTCCGTTTTTATTTTGCCGCTTTTAAAATAAACATTATAAAGAGACAGAATGGCTGACTGGATTGACTGGCTACTCCTTGATAGTGTCTGGAAGCTCCCACTGGCTGCTGGGATATGTAGTTCTTTCCTTCTGCTGTAGTGTCTGTCCAGGTGGACAGACTCACCTTATTGAGGTAGCTGTTCTACTGCATACTGTTCAGATGGTAGTGAGCGGTTTATTCTCCACTTAACTTCTCAGACAGAGGGCTCCCGGTTAGCTCAGTTGGTAGAGCTGGCGACCCATGTACGGAGTTGCTGCAGCGGCCCGGGTTCATCCCCTCTCTCTCTGCCCCTCTTTCTATCTTCAGCTGTCACTATACAATAAAGGCAATAAAAGGCCAAAAAATTAAAATAAAAAACTTTCAGACAGAGCAGCCATCATCACACACTCATTATTTAAAATGGCAGTCGGCAGTTATTCAGTCCTAAAATGTTTTTAGCTTCACTTTTAAACATATCCATACATACATACCCATCTGCCTGAATGTAGAATATGTGGAAATTAATTCACTATCATATTTTTGTTTCTGCTTTGAAATAATATTGAGTGTCTGAGCCGTGGGGGGGTCTGAAGGAAAAACTGATATTCAATAAATCACACAGAGAGAAAAAAAATCTAAAATCTTCTAAAGCTAAAACTCGTCAATATTCAGCACTTTGAAAATTAGAAATCAAAAGAGTAAAGAGAAAAGATTCCCTTTCGTAGTGTGTTCAGAGTCACACGAAGCCTCGACAGCCTTAACATCACTGCATCGCAGCAAATCCGCCAAAATAAAAGCCCCACCCCTCGCTGCTTGTTCACATTAGCCGTTCAAACACCACTTAAAGGCCTCGCAGCACCAACGCATGTCAGTACATTTTAAATTCATTATCATTATCGATATAGAGCCACAAAAACTTTACTCTCTCACACAAATCCATTACAGTTTTGGTTTTAATTTGTAGAATTTTGCCAGTTTCTTATTGTCAGATTTTCAGTTTGTTATATTTTCATTGGTGTTGAAGAACCTTTAAAGCTGCAACACTAAACAGGCTGGGGAGGGAAATATTTCCAGAAACACTTCCCATAATCCCCCCTGCTGGCAGCCGCTGATGAGACGTTTGCATTAAAAGCTAAAAGAAGTTTGTTTCGAAAGTCTGAATGAGAAGTGAGGTAGCCTGAAGCTCGAGGTGGTAGCTTCATGCGGCGCGTTGCTCGTGTTTGACGGCAAAATGTGAACAATCAGCCAGAAATCATCATCACATTTACATACTGCATCAAATATAGATAACACACATATTCAATATATATATCTTTCATACTGTATGTATCAGCAAAATAAAAGCCTCCACAAAATAAATCTCTGATTCATTTTACAATATGTAAAACAAAACACGATTTCTAACACGAGTCTTTTTAAAAGTGCTAGCAACATTATTGTACAACAATGTGCAAATGTATGTAGTTTTAGTATATTTTACATTCTAATCATTGTTTCCCCGTGATAGGTGGATGGTGAGTGGTTGCTAGGAGACAGAGTTGTAGACATGCCCCACAGAACGCTGACTTGTGGGATATTAAACAGAGAGCCCTACACAGGACGTCCTGTAGGGCTCTGGGTTTGGCTAGTCAACCGTACGGGCTCTAGAGTTAAGACAACGACGTAAGGCAACGCTTGGCAACAAGCTGAGTCCTCCGGCTCTCATCTCTCCACCGACTCATCTGACTGCCGCTAAAAATACGAATTCACTCTTAAAGTAATTTCAATGCTTTCTTAAAATCAGTCAGGCTGCTAACAAATCTGGTGCCTGCACACTAACAGCGACTGTAGAGCCTTAACGTTCGATTTGGCCAGAGAGCAAAAAGAATCATAATATAAATATTATATATATTATAATATATTTAAATTTAATTTTTTTGTGAAGTAAAAATCCTCCTTAAATATGTTTGATCTCTAATTATGAAATCATTTTTCATAATTTGACGGACACTTTGCGCAGGAAGTCAATTAAGGGAACTTGGGATCCATCTTATAATACCATACAATAATGTTTGCTTTTGACCCACCTTCAAGTTTTAGTTTTTGCCCACCAAGGAAAACGTAAAGTTAACCTTAAAAAGATCCAGTAACCCAGTGAAGCTCTGTTGGTGCTTCTGGACTAAGGTGTGAGGCGTGAGGCCCAACCAATACTGGATTTTTCAGGCTGATTTCAATATCTAGATTTGAGAGTTTAGATTAAAATAAATCTTTAAAATGATTTATTGCATTTCAGTATCAGGGTTACCGATGCGTTTCTTTGTACTTCACACAAATTGGTCTATAAATGGATCCACCTGTAGGTCCAAGTTTTAGGGTCAGTTATTCAGTGTAAGATTAGTTTCATTAAGATAGCCTCCTTAATCTGTAATTATCATTATTATTATTATTATTATTGTTCAACCTAGGAAACCAGTTATTATTGTTTTACTGTCCAGTTGACCCAATCTACATCAGCATTAGCTAGCTAATTAGTTTTACTAACATTAGATGTAACTAGCTAGCTAATTATTAATAGCCAACTAGCTTGCTAACGATTGATGTAGATTAGCTAGCATTTTGCTAACATTAGCTAACTTAAGATGTGACTATATATATGTCTCTTTTATCTTTTAACCATCTTCTGAATGTGTCTGTTCAGGAGGAAATTGACCGAGGCTAGCTCAACTATTATTGGATGACAGAGCAAAAAGGGGCGGGACTTAGAAAGGGTCAGCTGTAATTCAGTTTCTGGATAAAATTTCTGGCACAAAATATTCAGGCCTAAAACTGAGAACGTGAACGTGATTAAACCAATCAGCATTGACCATCGTTTGAGGAGAGCGCGATGTTCGGAGGGAGGACTTCAGCGTTAATGGGACCGATGAGACGAGGCAGAGAAGAAGAAGAAGAGTGAACGGGTTGATATTGGCAGCCTGGAGCCCTGGTCTGGGATCAGCCCTGCAGGGCGAGTATATCGCTCCGTTTGGCACTTCAAGTCGACCTGGGGACACAGAACGAAGCCCAACCTTTGACCTGATTCTAACACAGACCTGAACCTCCTCACAAGGAGGTCAGATAGAGAACATGGAGGGGTTAAAGGTCAGATCCAGTGTGTTTTCAGCTTTTAATTTGATCTTTTCCCTTTTTTGTAGAGTGGTTTCGAGTTCAGTTTAATTCTGAACTTTGTCAAATCGGGCCTTGATTTCACAGACTGAAACTACCCAGTCAGCTGGATGCAATATGGTTGTGATTAATATAGAAGTATTTATTCACTATGAATGGACAAAAACAGAAGAACAACGACTGAATTCCCACTGGAACTTTCCTTCTAACATCACATCTATTGCTGCCTGAGTGAATCAAGCCTCGGTGTGACTGTCGAAAACAGATCGGAGGTCAGTGGGTCGAAGAACCACATGCTGCTCAGGAGTCTGGACTGTTCTAGGATCAGTAGTAGGAGCTGGTGATTCACAGTAACGAGGACAGAAACGAGCTGTGCTGATATGTCGAAACATCCGGTTTCTGTTTGATACCGACTACAGGTTTTACACTTCAGATCAATAACAATCCAAGTGTCACATAAAGTGCTCACAAACAAGCTGAAAAGACAAGAGTCAAAGCTTGTTCAACTTGAGACCAAAGCAGAACCGGGAGAGCCTGACGATACGTTCAGAGGTCAGTTCGGCCTCCTGGCAGCATGCATTCGTTGACCGCTGGTTGTTCTATAGCACAAACTTTTTTTACACTTCAGTCCTGGGGCCAAACTCTTAAGTTGGTCACGTGGTGATACAGAACAGAACTCGGACACCCTCTCAAGTGTCTTGATGACTAAACTGAAGTTACTAATTCCAGGAACTGAACCCTGGGACGCCACCTTGCTTCTTTTCTTACATTTGACCAAAGGACTGAAGAAGTAGAAGACCATCTTTGGCTATTTTTAAACCCTGTTTAAGCAAATGACCTCTGGTAATTTTCTGGGGGGTCAGTCTGTCTGTCTACAACTCTGTCTTAATAAACAGCCATTACACACACACAGCCCATTAAAGTGTCTTAAAGTTTACATTTTTACCTACAGGTTTAAACTCTGAGCTCAAATATCACAAAATTGCAGCTAAAAGAAAAAGCTTGAGCAGCAAGCGACAGTCCCAGTGCTGTATGATGATGAGATAATCACAGGCAGTGCGTGCGTAATGGCGGTCTATCGGGTCTGTGTATGTTTGCGTGTCCAATTCGCCCACCACAAGACAAGATTGCATTGATACCCTTCGTCCAAGTTGGAGGAAGCTTGACGTCCAGCAGCGTCTTTGTTTTTGAACACAGTGAGACTCCATCAGGAAGAACATCTCTCCAGCTTTCTTCCGCCCCTCCAGGGTTTGACTAGTGTGAAAAATTTCTGCATTTCATCCTTTAAATAGTCAAGGAGAATTCATATTTACATTTTCTTTATGAGAACCAGAGGAATCGAAGCCCTTTGCGGTTAAAGAACTCTGCTGGTTTTAATCACAAATTTTTGTCAGAATCTGGAAAAAAAGGAAGCATTTTGTTGTTGCCATAATTATAAAACCACTCCTGGAGGGGCTGCCTCACTATCTGATTCCTTCAGTCCTTTGCAGATGTGAAAAATCTTCGTAGCTTTGGTCTGCCTGGTGGCGTTCGGAGGAGCTGAGGAGATCAGTGGATGCACGGTTAATCCGAGGAGACAAACAATGGATGGATCTGAGGAAGCTGGCTGATTGATCATTTCTAGAGTCCGTTCTGAGGTCTGGTACCGGGTGGAGGTAAATATGAAGGTTGGGTGTGTGGTGGTGAGGTGTCGGCCATCTTGTCATAGGTGGGACGGGTGGAGATGAAGATGCTGTGATCAGTGGAGTCCCGCCTACATGACGCTCTCAAAGATGATGACCTTGTTGTCGTCAGTGCCAGGGGACAGCGAGGTTAGGGACTTGATGTCAGGGGCCATGTACTCCAGGTGATGGACCCCCCACACTGGATTGGTCAGGTGGGCCCAGCGCTGTAACACATAACAGGAAACATTAAAAGACCTACAGATGAGATCCACCTGCCTTCATTAAAGCTGCCCTGTGGCTAAACGTTGAGCTACACGTCATCAAACTACTGGGTGTGAATCTTTCAGTATCTCACGATTCAATTTTGATTGTTAGATCACAATTTGATTCAAAATTGTCACAATTCATAGCTTATCCCTAACTGCTGCTAAAATAAATAAATAAATTTAAGTAATTTCCCCCCGGGGATTATTAAAGTATTTCTGATTCTGATTCTGAATACCATATTTAGAAAGTCTTTTAAAGTCACCTTTTGTTTGCATTCATTCATTGGTTAGACCACATTATTAAAGTTATATATTGTTGTGGCTCAAACACTGTGGCCGGTTGTCTTCCTCAGTCCATTATCATCACTGAGAAATGTTTCACCTATATCCTAAATAAATAATAATAATAATAATAAAGTGTTTTCCTCATTTACTTGTATGTGTACATAAGAAGTTTGTAAAATGTTGTGTAGCTTATTTTTAAAACGTTAGTGTTAAGTTTCACTGTCTATGTCCACTGTTGGTGATCGCTGACCTCTTTGAAGGTTCCCTTGGCTCTGAAGAGTTTGTACAGAAGGCTGACGGGGATGCAGAGCATGGAGGACAGAGCCATACACCAGCCGATCACCTCGCCCCACCATGGGTACACGTACACGTTGTTGTAGGTCAGCGGTTTGTAGTTCACCAGGTGGAACAGGAAGATTCCCTGCAGAGGAGTAAAAAGGAGGCCAACGTCATGGAAAATGTCTTCAACAGGACTAAAACACCACAACTGGCTCTTTTCAACACGTCTCCACTCCGAGTTTAGTTAATGAATAATATTGCGTCTACACTTCTTAGTATTAATTACTCATTGTATTAATGTTGTGATTTTTTGGCAACTTATTATGAAAGTTTCCCCACTAATGCAGCTTTCTTTGAATCACCTGTGGGAGTGGGGTGACTCAGAAAATCTTCATTGTACCTTTCTTCAAAGCATTCATGCTCTGTGTACATTTGATATATTACTACTATGTTGTTAAACTGTAATTACGTTTGTTGAAGCTATATGACTTGTTAGGACTTGGGAGTGCAAAGACTTAAGACTTATTTGGAACTTGTAAACAATTACTTACCTCCAGCAGAATGTAAATGTATCAAATTAAGTGGTTATAATGTTGTAATTCTTTCTGAATTTCTCATTAAAGATTGTGTTTGTTGAATGTTTCTTGTGGAAGCTAGCGTTGTATGCTAATTACTGAGACAATGTGATGGACAGGGAAGAGTTCAGAAAGCTGTGGTGTGTCTGAGGGTTTCAGGACTGGTGTTGTTCAGTCTTACCATGCAGACACATGGAGTTATAAAGGACCAGCACCACTTCATCCAGGGGAATGGCCGGTAGCCAATCATACGAGCTACATCATCCATGAAGCGGTCAGCACCTGAGTCATCAATCATAAACAAATAGATGAAAATGCTGCAGCAACTTGAATGAATCCCTGACATATTTTAACTTCTACTGACGTGTATGTTCTGAAAAACACTGACATGCAAACTACTAGATTTTAACTATTGTATCATTTACTATGACTTACTATACTATTACATTTTGACATATTACATTATGACATACTTTCCTATGGCATATGTTCCTGTCATGTACAATACTTTGGCATACTGTACTATAACATACTTTGCTAAGATAAATTTATACTATGACACACTCTATTGTGTCAAAAACTTTGTACTATGAGACAATATACTAAAACAGACTGAACTGTGACCTTCTCTACTGTAACATCATGTAACAAAAGTATTCACACACCTATTCTGAGATCAGACGCTTCACTGATACACTTCACTATGTCACAGCATGCAAATACCTCACTGTGAAACACTACACTGTGTGTGTGTGTGTGTGTGTGTGTGTGTGTGGCTTACCGTAGACCCAGGCAACTACTATGCATTCCCAGAATGCTTGCCACAACAGAGTCATTCCACTGGCCGAATAGTAGTCAAACAATTGGAAGACGTACATCCCTCCCTGCAGAGACAGAGACAGCTCAGTGTTTGACTTCCTGCAGCACAAAGTCAGTTTAACACTAAACTGATCAGCTGACCTTTATTGTTTTCTCTTCTCTTAAGTTCAGTCAGAAGTTCCATCTCAGAGAGGACAGTTTTTAAAACAGTGTGAATTTTACATTTACAGTGTTGAGCTGACCTGTGTCACCATGGAGAGGTCAATAATGAAGCACAGTAAACAGCATATTGCCACCGCGATCTCCCTTTTGTAGCGATGGTGGTTATTTCCAGGAAACAGATCCAGAATTCCAGTCACAAAACCCTCGACCCCGACAAACTTGAGACACACAGAGAGACAGACAGTTAGTCTATCTTCACAAAACAAAGACTGGATATTCAATACAGATAGATCAGATATAACTTTATTGATGTCCTGGGTGGAAGCTCCTGTTAATGTAAAGTAGTTGTAGTGTACTTTAGATGATTTAAGTCATTATATACATGAGATTATGAACATTAATATATCAGCAAACAGCTGTTCTGTATATACGGACAGAGTCACATGGTGTCTCTCTCCACCAACAGAGACGGTTTTGGTGAGTTTTATTCTGTTTCTATTACGATGTTACGATGATCTGTGAGGTAAAATGAGTGTTTTAACTATGGAGTCTGGTGGAGAGTGTTTCTATCTCTGTAGTGAGTCTCTTATATAACCTTAAAGCCAATGTCAGGCTGCCAGGAAGGAAGCAGCGAACGTAATATTACTATATATTATGTGTTGTGTTCTATGTGTTGGTCACCTGACTGTCCAGTCCCAGCAGCAGCAGCATGAAGAAGAAGAGTGCCGCCCAGAGAGGAGCCACCGGCATCAAACTGACCGCCATTGGATATGCAATAAAGGCCAGACCTGGACCTGAAACACACACATACACAATGCTTACTATACAACTACAACACTGCATTTTAGAAACTCCAGTCAACAAAAGGTAACTTTTCTAACTTTTTCTCTTATTTGCAGTTTTAGAAGTTTTAATGACGTAATCGTTTTTAAACAAAGATTGAAAGAATTAATACAGAGGTGATTTTGTTGAGGTCAATGTTTCACAGTAAAACATCGGGAAAAGTCAGAAAAAAATAAACAACTTTAAAACCTATATATTAGTTTTTTCTTTTAAATGTCTTGTGAAAACTCAACAGTTGATTTATTTAACTGCATTAAGAAGATATTAAATATACAATCTGTGATACAAATGTATCTGGTTAAAAATGTCCTTTAAAGCTTCACTGTAATATAATATTAATAGGTTTGTTTTCATTAGTGTTTAATCACCTGAAAATAAGAATTGTTGTGTTTTTGTTACCTTAGAATGAGCTTTTTTTTATCTAGAAGCA